AACCTTTCACAAAATTTTTCAGAACGAAAGAACAAAAAGAAAAACCATTTTACAAAATTTTTTTTTATTCTTTAAACAAGGTTCCTTATTTTACTACGTGGAATTTTTATACACCAATATTAACATTTTCAACAAAATAAAAAATTTAGAGATAAAATTATTTTGAAACATTTTTTTCCCCTTATTGTTTTATAACTTTTAAATAAAAAAAATTTTTGTAAAAATAAAACTGCCAAAGCATCATTCATATGGTAATCACCATGATTCATTAAAACTAAATTTTTTTTATTTATATTTTAATTAAAATTTTGTTCCCAAGGATAGTTTTTAAAAATACTGATACCATCATATTCGCATTGTTTCAATAGACTTTTTCTAAGTCCAAGTTTGACAAAACATATTATATTGATGTAAAGTTCAGAAGTGGATGAAAAAAATAAATTTTGAGTTATTTTAAAAACTTCGTGAAATTAATTGATTAACTCAACTGATTTGTTTTCTGCAAGCCAAAATGTATATATCGTCATTTTCAGTATGTATAAATGCCTTGGTAGATATAAATGCTTATAGCATATTATGTCGAATCAAACCAGACAGCTATGAATGTCTCGGAGGTGGGCCATGATATCAAATATACTATAATAAATTTGAAATCTCTCTGCTCTTTGAATATATTGCCCAAAAATAAACTGGAGGGTTAAAAAAAAAAAATTTAAATTTAAATTTATATTATTTAAACAAGGTTGAATATAAATTTTGCAGGAAAAAACAGGATGCGTTTTAAACAGCAAAAAAAAATTCCATACTATTTTTTTTTTTTGAATCATTAAAAATCCTGATTTCAACTGTATGTGGCCTTTAGCTGATAATTTTTGCCGACATCTGGTTTAAAGTTTAAGCTTCGTTTAAAGCAGGGGATTTTTTGTAAAATATTTCAAAAATCAAAGAAATTCAAAATTCTTTTAGAGCAATTATTTAGCCTGGTTTTTTTGGAAAAGGGATAGTCAGTTATGACATTGTGTCTCGGAGGAAATCTTTTTTTGTTATTTATATCTATATAAATAATTGTTGAAGACTGAAGAAATTTGCTTTGGAATTTTGGTTTGGACAACAAAAAAAAAAAAAAAACAATTTATAATATATATTATTTACAATATAAATTTATTAAACATTAAAAAAAACAATAACAATTACAACAATCAACAAAAAAAAAAAATGCCAAAATCTTTACTACGGTTAATAAATAACAACTGTTTTGACGATAAAATTCATTTTACTAAGTTATGGCATTTATTTTATGAAAGTTCTTTTTATTAGTGAACCAAGGGTATGCCTACTATGAAAATTTAAAAGAACAGATAAACTTCTGTTCAGATGCCAATAGACATGAAATAGGCAAAAGAAATACTTGGAGCTGATCATTAAAATGAATATTTTCATATAAAAATGAGGGATTCAACTAAGATAACCATTACCATTACATTAGATCTGGCATTGTATCCCGCACTGTTGATTCATTGAAAATTCAAAATTCTGTTTCCGTTATTTCTGTTATGTGTCATTGATATTTCAGAACCAAAGCGATTCATCTACGTGGCTTTGACACCTTTTTGTGATATCAAAAAATTGACTCTTTAAATCCAGTGTTTGTTTTTCGTTCTGCTACCCGTTCACCAGACTCAGAACATAGGATAACCGTTTTAGCATCATATTTCATTAATATATACTATAAGGACTACCGGAAAAATTTTGAAATGTTATACACTAATTATTTAATTATTTATCTTCTCTCCCATTTGATTTCTTTATTTCACCTAAAAATATAAGATACTTCTCTCCGTTCTTTTTGAAATGGAAAAGATGTAAATCAATTTTGTTTCGTGTTTGGCAATGGGTTTTGGTTAAAATCTTGTCTATTTCAAATTCTTACTTCTGGACCACCTGAACTCTGACATGTAAATACTTTTAAAATAAATACCCAAGCAAAGGTGGGGTGCCACTAACAAGCAATGGATTAAAAATGAAGCAAAATAAAGGGGATGTTTATCTGGAAAGGATAAAAGAAGGATAAAAAGATCAAGACATTGAAAAAGATGTCGATGGATATTAAATTTGAATATTTGAATATTAAAGCTATCAATGCTCGAAAAATTAGGAAGGGAGTTCCAAAATTCAAAGCGCTAGATAAAAGCTGCTGGATAGATAAATATTCTAAAAACATTTTATTTCGACATTGAAATGGTGGGAAAAAACAATTGAACGTTTTAAATTCATGCAGTTTAGAATCCGAAACTCATTTAAATTGTAAAATATAAGACAGAAGTCAAAATACCGGAACTTTCTCTTCCATAACTCATTTACCAAAATATTCTGATGAAACTTAAGAAAAAATCGAAGCATGTTAAATTCATAAATTTTACCTGTTTGTTATTTTATCATTCGTTTGTTTTTTTTTTATTATTATTTTTCAGATTCCTTTTTTTTCCTTTTTATTCGTGTTTTCTCGTTTTTTCTTAATTTTGCTTTACATTTATTGACATTCTTCATTCATTTTTTTTTCTTCATTTCTTTTTGTTTTTCTATACAATCATTTTTTTTCACCTTTAACCTTTTTTTTCTTTTTTTTGAAAAAAAAATTTTCTTTTTCATCCATCTTTCTTTCCCTCGAACTTGGATTGGTGGATAAAATTTCTTCTTTTCTTTATTTCAATTACTAATTTTGAACTTTTATACAAAACACATTTATATGCCACACATACAACAACACACACAACATTTATATATATATATATATATATATATGTGTGTGTGTTCAAAGACTTGGAATCTAAAAAAGGAAAGAACTCGAAAGGTAAATAATCCAAAGTTCTAAAATTATTTTTGTTATTATTGAAGACAAAAAAATTCTGTTCGATACAAATATAGACCATAAATTAATTATTTATTATTTTAAATTATTTATTATTATTATTATTATGCTTTTTTGGAAACTGTTTTTGAATAAATAATTATATATATATATATATATATATATTATATATATACCTTATATTGAGACAGACAAAATAACACATTATATTTATATATATATATATATATATATATATATATATATATATCTCATATTCTTTTACAGGATTGGTGGATAAATAAATTTCAATAAGATTGAATTGATATTCTTAAATGAACAGTGCTCAATACATAATGAGCCAAATATAATTATCTATCGAAACCTAAAAAATTATAACATAAATATGTTATAAAATGACTACAAAAATAGCCATTTTGTAAGAAAACCTATATTTCTTATCAAAAAAAACAATCCGAATTAAGACATTGGAGTGTTAAAACTTGATGGCTTTATGGAATAAGAAAATTATATTGATATATTCATATATATTATATATATATATATTATATATATATATATTTATTACTTGTCACACATTTACTGTATGTCCATATCAGATATTTTATCAAATATTCGTATATTTTTCCATTTTGTATACCTATATTTAAATTTTATATACATAATTCATTTTGATTACGTATACATGTTTTTTTCTTGAATTTGAATACATATTTTTTTTACATATATTTTTTCTTACATATGAAATTATCATTGAAAATATTTTAGAAAAGGTAAACTGAATGAAGAATAAAAAAAACAGAGGTTTCTTTTGAAATGTCGATCTTTATAACATCCTAAAAATACAATACTTCTTTTTTACAAGATAGGTAAACCACTGCTTTTTTTGGACAGCTTAGACAGGATTTTCCCGAAAGACTTTACAATAGTGTGTAAATGTATTTATGAGCATTGGGAAATACCCATTACTGTTCTATAGATAAGTTTTATAACGCTTTCTTTCTTTTCTTTCTTTTCTTTTCTTTGAAAAAATTTTTCTTTCTTATTTCTTTCGTCTTAACGTTTAAATCTTTCAAATACAAAATTTTTTTTTACATTATTTTTTTCTTCCCTGGAAATATTTTTTAATTCTTACTCACTTTTCTTAAGTTCTTTTTTTTAGATTTTAATATACCATAATTTTTGTTTTTTTTTTATTATAATACATCGTTGTAAATTTTTTCTTTCTTTCTTTCTTTCTTTCTTTCTTTCTTTCTTTCTAGACAGGGTTACTGAATGAGGAATAACCAAAACGGAGGTTGGAAATGAAATGGTAATCTTTATAACATCAACAAAATATAATACTCGCCAGCGGCGTGAAGTAGGTAAACCACTGCTATTGGTGAACTACGTTGACACCTTATTACCCCCTACTTGCAATAGTTAGAAGCTACTCCCCAGAGTTATCATGGGGTGAACTTAACAGAAGAGTAAAAAAAAAAAAAAAATGAAAAAGAGCTCTTAGAGTCATTGAAAAAAGAATGGAATCAGTTCTCAAACGTAAACTTTTGCAACCAATGCCAAATATTTGTGTTGCAGTAATCAAGGCTAAAGGATGATATTTTGACGAGAGCGAAAATTTAATCATAAAATGCTTTTTTTTCTGTTTGTCATAATAAAATTTCTAATAGATATCATGTCTGACTTTTTTTTAACCATGTGTAATAATTTTCTCTCAATTAAAGTGCAAACAACTACAGTTTGACGCCAATTTAAAAAATTAGCAAGGGTTGCCACAAACTCTTGAACTGTAGTGTATATATATTTTCTAAAGGAGTAATAGATATTTTCATTCCTTAACCTAAAAGATGTTATCTGTTTAAACGTTATTTTTAGTGGATATTCGTATTTGAGTAGAAACTCCATTTATTTATTAAACAATATTTTTGTCTACTGGCCTGAATATTTGCGAATTCCTATAAATAGACAGGTAAAATCCGAGTGTTTAATAAATAAAACTCCATTACTTCTTTAGAAATTGCTTTGTCTACGTTTCGATACGAAACTGAGCAGATATGAAAAATTACAAGAAGCCTATAACGAGAGTAATGTGAACATATTTCAACTTTGTTAAGCTTTTTTTTCTTCTTTCATGAAAATATTTTCCATTCTTTCTTTCTTTCTTTCTTTCTTTCTTTCTTTCTTTCTTTCTTTCTTTCTCCTCTGTTCCTATTCTTTCTTTCTTTCTTTCTTATATTCCCAGTTTTAATCTTCCCTTGATTCTTTCATTCTGAGATGAATGTCTTCCTTTCCTTTACTTTTATGAATCTTTCTATATCGCTAATGTCTTTTTAAGTATTATTCTTTCTTTCTTTCTTTTTTTCTTTATTTCTTTCTAAGCCTGTTTATAACATTCATTCTTTCTTTCTCTCCCTCTCATTCTCTTTGTAACTAATTTTCTTTCTTTCTTTTTGTTTGTTTCTTTCTTTGTAAGTACCCCTCTTTCTTTGTTTGTAAGTACCTTTCTTTCTTTCTTTCTTTCTTTCTAAGCCTGTTTATAATGTTCATTCTTTCTTTCTTTCTCTCTCTCTCTCTCTCTTTCTTTTTGTAACTAATTTTCTTTCTTTCTTTTTCTTTGTTTCTTTCTTTGTAAGTACCTTTCTTTCTTTCTTTCTTTGTAAGTACCTTTCTTTCTTTCTTTCTTTGTAAGTACTATTCTTTCTTTCTTTCTTTCTTTCTTTCTTTCTTTCTAAGCCTGTTTATAACGTTCATTCTTTCTTTTTCTCTCTCATTTAAAAAAAATTAACTAATGAACTTAATATTTCTTTCTGTTTGTTTCTTTCTTTGTAAGTACCTTTCTTTCTTTGTAAGTACCTTTCTTTCTTTCTTTCTTTCTTTGTAAGTACCTTTCTTTCTTTCTTTCTTTCTTTCTTTCTTTCCACAATTCCTTTTCGTTGTTTTCATCTCATTTTTCTTTTTCTTTTTCACTTCTTTCTTTCTTTCTTTCTTTCTTTCTTTCTTTCTTTCTTTCTTTACAATTCTCTATTCATCCGTCTCTTTTCTTTTCTTTTTTTCTCTTCATCCAGCTCTCCTAATATTTCTTCACTTTCTCTTTCTTTACATTCTCTTCGCGCCTTCCTTGTCCGTTTCGACTGACGTTTCTACAAATAGCTCCGCCATTTTTTTTTCATAAATATTTTCTTTCATTAAACACATTTTCTCCTATTCATTGATTGGAATCCATTTTGTTCCTCTGCTGTATTTTTAGTTTTTTTTCTCCATCACCTACTTAACGTTCCAATATTTTTTCTCTCGTTATAACTCAAAAAGCTCAATTTATTAAATTTATCTTTTCTTTTATTTCGTCGATTTTTCTCCATATTTCTTATTTCCTTTTTTTATATCATTTATGGTTTAAAATCTTCCGCCATCCATTTGCCCCGGGTACGTTTTTTATTTCCTCGTTAATTTTTTTTTTTTTTTCTTAAGCAATTTTTTTAGCTCGTATATTCAGAATTCTTATTAGGTTCTTTTCATTTGCGTTGAGGTTTGATTTATTTAATTTTTGACAAATATTTGAGGAAAAAATGATTTTTAATCATGGCGTTTTACTTGTATCCTGCTTCAGTTATTTGATTTTTAATTTGACATTTAGTTTCGTTCTTTCTTTCATTCATTTTCTCGTCTATTCTCGAACATATTCTTTCTTTCTTTTTCTTTCTTTCGTAAATATACATTTTCTTTCTTCCTTTTTGTTTGAGAAATATTTCGACTTTGTTAAGCTTTATTCTTTCTTTCATGGAACTATTTTTTTTTCTTTCTTTCTTTCTTTCTTTCTTTCTTTCTTTCTTTCTTCCTTCTATTCACAGACATAATCTTTCCTTGATTTTTTCTTTCTTAGGTCAATTTCCTTCCTTTCTTTTTTTTATGAATCATTCGACATTGCTACTGTCTTTGTAAATATTATTTTTTATTATTTCGTACCTTCCTTCTTTCCTTCCTTCCTTCCTTCCTTCCTTCCTTCCTTCCTTCCTATTTTTCTTTCTTTTCTTTCTTTTTTCTTTATAAAAAATTTATTTCTTTTATTTATTTTTTTCTTTCTTTCTTTCTTTCTTCTATTCACAGACATAATCTTTCCTTGATTCTTTCTTTCTGAGGTTAATTTTCTTCCTTCTTTTTTTTATGAATCTTTCCACATTGCTAATATCTTTATAATTATTATTATTTTCTTTTCTTTCTGTCTGTCTTTCTTCCTTCCTTCCTTCCTTCCTTCCTTCCTTCCCTTCTTTCTTTCTTTCTTTCTTTTTTCTAACTCTATCTATCTATCTATCTATCTATCTATCTATCTATCTATCTATCTATCTATCTGTGTCAGCCTCTTTCCGGCATGTTCGAGATTGAAACTTTGCATCGTTCATTTGCGAGTCAGGCTTTGTTGAATGTTGACATTTTGTCCACAAATGAATGCCTTAAAGATGGCGGATAAAAAATTGTATTTCACCATTTTATGGTCTATGAATTTTTCAAGGGTGTAAGCGGCACTTCAGACAAAAAACAAAACACTGATGACAGAAGGTTTTATCGGTATCGTTTTCCAGCACATATGACATGGTCAAAAAAAGTGGTTTGATGAATTTCATCAGGGTGATTTTGAGCTAAACGATCAACCTCGCTCCTCTGCTTGCTATCGGGGTGAAGGAACCGAAGGTCTCGACGAAAGAGATTGCTAAGAGATTTCAACTGCCTTTCGCCATTTGAAGAGGCATGAGTCGAAGAAAATGGAATTTTTGCAGAATCGGATAAGTGTTATTTTTCGCCATGAACGAGCATTAGTATTTACAGCGAGATATCACAGTAGGTCTCACGATTCTGAGAGAGTTACAATTAATAACAATTCAAATTACAATATATTTAAGGTTCTTTTTTTTTCTGATGATTTGCGTACAAAATTCCGTTTCCAAAGGAAACAACTAAAGCAAAAAAAATATTTATCCAGCTGATGCTCCTACTGGAACAGGCATAAAGATCAGAGAATTGCCAGATTAGGACTAAAAATGTACACTATTATGCACTAAAAATGTGTAATAGATTGTTTTAGGGTGTAAGTTGTTGCGCAATGGCTCGAAATGTGCCGGATTCCGAGTTCGAATTTTGTATTTTCGTTATATTCCTTTACCAAATCACCTTGGGAAAATGTTAACAACATTGTGTTTTAGATTCACCAAATAGTGAGTTGAATAGCAAATATATTTTGGAAAAAGTTTTTTGTTTGGAACTCAGAGAGCATAATTTGAAATGACCACCAATTCTGCCCATCCGTCATGAAAAAATCTCTTTGGAACATGATCTCTCAAACGGGAATCACGTATTGCACTTAATTGACTGACTGACCATGGGTCTTTTAACCTTGGTTGACAATCAGTCTACTGCAGAAAGAAACGTGTCAACCTTCTATGGAAAATCCTTCTGCCTAGTCAGTGATGATTCGAAAAAGATATGATTCCCCAAGCGTGTATCACTTATGGCACTTAACTGACTGACTGATCCAAGAGCCTTATAGCCTTGGTTGGCAACCAGTCTACCATAGAATGAAAGGGCGGCCCACTGAGAGAAATCCTTCTGCCTAGTCATGATTCCGAAGAGATATGATCCCCCAAGCGTGTATCACGTGTGGCACTTATCTGACTGACTGAGCCTTGAGTCCTATAGCCTTGGTTGGCAACCAGTCTACCATGGAAGGAAATGGCAGCCCACCGAGAGAAAATGCTTCTGCCTCGTCATGAAGTAAAAGAGACATGATCGCCCAAGCGTGTATCCTTATGCCTAGTCAGTCATGATTCGAAAAAGTCATGATCCCCCAAATGTGTATCACGTATGGCACGTAATTGAGTGACTGATCCGAGGGTCTGTTAGCTTTGGGCGGTTATCAGTCTACCGCAGAAAGAAACGTCAATCTTCTACGTGAAAATCCTTCACCTTAGTTAGTCATGAATCTAAAGAGACATGATCGCCCATGCGTATATCACTTATTGCCCTTAACTGACTGAATGAGCCATGGGACCTATAGCCTTCGTTGGCAATCAGTCTATCGCGGAAAGAAATGGCTACCTACTGCAGGAATATCTTCGGCCTCGTCAGTCATAAATTGAAAAAGACATGATCACCCCATCCTGTATCACGCATAGCACATTACTGACTGACTGATCCTTGGGTTCTATAGCCTTGGTTGCCAAACAGTCTAACCCAGAAAGAAACGCCAATATTCTGCGTGAAAATCCTTGTCTAGTCAGTCACGAAGCGAAAGAGACATGATCATCCAAGCGTTTATCACGTATGGTACTTAGTAGATTTTGTTTAGTGACGCATCAACACCACTATGGGTTATTTAATGCCAAAATCTTAATATTTTGTACGCATTTTAATATCTGCAACTACAGATATTTTATACATAATTAATGGGAAATGTTCGCCATGAACTCTCCAAGGGAGAGTAAGGCGTCAGGAGAGTTAGGAACGCAGCGAGATGATTTCACACTTTGAACCTCGCATTCCCCCTCCTTACCACCAAGCATAACCAAACACAAATAAGAATAAATAGATCCATTCTAAAAAAAAAACATAAACCAGTTTGATGATCGCAAAATAATTACTAAATACGATATTTTATTCAAGGCAAACGTATCTTTTAGTTATATAGTTTGTAATTGATAACATCTATTTTTTTGTATTTTTTTTTAACAAACTGAATTGCTGAATTTTACTATAAATATGTATTTTATACTTTTTTGTAACTTTGTATTGATTATCATTTTACTATGAAAATGTATTGTTGATTTTTGCTATTTGCCCATAGCTGGGGCCCTAACAGGTGCTACCACCCCTGGTCAGAGTCAAGGCCAGGGTCAGAGTAGACCTGGGAACAACAACAGTTAAAAGGTGGTCCCACGTTTCTCAAAACCTCCAATCTCCTGATCAGAGGTCTTGCTGCCAGATGTAGTTTATCGTCATACCAAGGACGGTATATTTAGCATATACATTCCTGGCTCAAATTTGACTAAATCGTAAGCAGTTCCACTATAGACATCAACATAGCTTAAGCATTTTCAATGAAAGAACGTAAAATTAAATAAAATAATTACTAAATACGATATTTTATACGATATTTTACCAAATCATCTAGTGTGTAATTGACTTCTTTTTCATATATATATATATATATATATATATATATATATATATATATATATATATATATATATATAAATTCAACAACAATTTAACGATGCAGATTAATAATCTTCAGGTAAATATTCAGGGATTTGATTTGGTCCAGACCCTAAAATTTAATAAAAAATCGTCCTACAAAAATAATATGTATCTATCTGTATATTTTCAAAGATAAGGTATCATATCACATTTATAGTTACAATGTTTTAGTGGTTAGACAATTCATTAAAAGAGCTATATTATTCAGTGATGTGTCTTGATGCCATACATGTTTCGCTGGGGAGTAAAAGAGAATTGAGGCATGGCTTGTTCTTATGCATCCTGTGAATGAAGAAAAGATATATATATATATATATATATATATATATTACAATGAATCATTCATTCAAAAAGTAGATTAGTAAAATTAATGATATAAAATGGCGAAATCCTTTCGCAAACAAAATTTTAAATTTGCATTAACCTACAAATCACTCGATGAATGTTATGATCCTTGTTTTTAAAATTATAAACAGTATAAGTTTTTGGGCAAGTACTTTCAACTGTACATTCAGTCATCCTCAAGCATGGAAATTATTTTATTTTTTGGTAAAATTCAGATGATAGCATCCGAGATGTAAAAAATTAAATGCGAATCGATTTTTTTTTAAATGTATTATTGATAACGGATACACATTTTTGGAGTGTGCAGTCGCAAACTAAGGTTGAATTTTTTTTTTTTTACTAATATGGCAATTTGAGAATTTATTGTTGTAGGAGTTTATCAGTCAGTGTGGCATGAACAAACTTGTTCAATAAATAGAGTAATGTCTCAGCTGTTATCCCTAAAATTTGGACGTCGGATCAGTTCTTTTAAATCAAATATGTGGTGCATTTCAATTTATATTACAATGAATCATTCATACAAAAAGTAAATTAGTAAAGGTAATGATATAAAATGGCAAATAAAAATTGAAAAATTCGATATTATATATATATATATATATATATATATATATATATATATATATATATATATATATATATATCCTTCCGACAAAATAACTTAATAACAGAAATGATCGTTTTCTGTCAGCCCGATCTTATGTCAATAGACATTTAACCACTTCAGGATACAATTTCTGTTGCCCTTGATGTAGTGAGAGAGGGATAGACAAAGAGACAGAGAGAGAGAGAGAAAGAGAGAGAGAGAGAATTTGGTACATTTTCTTTTATACTGATATTTTTTGCCAATGTCATTTGAAAAGCTTTATTAAAGAATATCTGTGAGACAAACATCTTAATCCGACAATTCAAAAACAGCGGTTCTTAAAATGGGTTTTGACGTTGGCTTATGTGCGCCATGAACGCTCGAAGGGAGAGTAAGGCGTCAGGAGAGTTAGGAACGCAGCGAGATGATTTCACACTTTGAAACCCGTATTCCCCCTCCTTGCCACCAAGCATAACCAAACACAAATAAGAATAAATAGATTCATTTAAAAAAAAAAAATAAACCAGTTTGGTGATCGCAAAAGCGTGAAACCCAGATTCACAAACTAATAGCCATGCAACTATATATATATATATATATATATATATATATATATATATATATTGGCTTATATTTAAGCAGCAATTTTTCATTAATGCATGTTTCATTAAATAATATAGACCAGTTTTTCTATTTATTTTAAGTAAGTTCCTTTCATATTGTCTTTAAGTTTAATCACATTATCGTTGAAAGACGAAAGGAAATCACCATATTGATACATAGATTGGATTTAAACATGTATCAATATGATTTCCTTCCATCTTTCAAATCAATATATATATTTAATGAAACATGTCTGTAATATATATATATATATATATATATATATATATATATATATATGCAAAAATGTGTAAAATTAACAATGATGGCAATAAACGATTTTATTTAAAATTTCAATTTATAACATATCATTTGCTTTTCCTTTTTTGTAAATTGTCCGTACCCGGTAAAAATGATTTTTTAAAGAAAAAAAGACAAAAAATAAAAAAAAAATCAATAAAAAAAATAAAATAAAAAAAAGAAAAAAGAAAAAAATTAATATATATATATATATATATATATATATATATATATATATATAATAAAAGGCTTAAACACTAATATCCTTACTCTGTCCTGGACATTGAGTTCTACCTGGATTCTATCCTCTTGGAATTTTTATTCTAAAATATACATGTATGGGTATTTATATATTTTATATATATGTATATTTACCATTAATATTCTCTCTCTCTCTCTCTCTCTCTCTCTCTATATATATATATATATATATATATATATATATATATATATATATATATTGTCACTGACAGAACTGTTTCCTGTATTACAGCTCATCAGTGTCGCTAGATGCGAGGTTACCTCTAGCTAGGATCAAAACCCAACTGAATTGGCGCAGGAGGGATGAAGGTGAATTTAAGCGTATTTATTTTTAGATGAACACAGAGTGACTGAGAACTCAAATCGATTTACCGAAGAGTCTTGCATTATTAGCCGTAATAGTCACTGTTTACAAACCCACACTTCCTCCCCAGAGAGCTCAATGAAATAAATTTTTCAGAGCATATATATTGTCATCACAGACAGCTGTATACATCATCAGTTTATTATATATATATATATATATATATATATATATATATATATATATATATATATATATATACATGTTATCTACATTTGAAAGTCATGGTTGGAATAATTTCTTAGAGTTATAAACACATATTGGGCAATTATTTATTGCGTTATGTGCATTTTTATTTAGATATGAGGGCATTAATATTATCTATTTATTATTTATTTATTTTATTGCGGATTGTAATTTGAGAATTAAAAAGCTGAGTTCGAATTCTGGTTGAGTTCATTACATTCACTTAGGTGCTTATATGAATCCAGCTCTTCTCCTCCACTCCAGCTATGGATAAACAATACGACAGAGCCCTGGGTGGCAACAGGTCTAAGACAAGGAAAAACTCTGAATTCAAACCATCTGCTGCCTTGTAGGTCTTGCCTCTTTAGACAGACTGGAAGAAGGTAATTTTAAAAGCAAACCTCCTCGTATTTCGCTTTGAAGAAAGAAACTTGCTCCACCCCAATCTAAGACCGCATTACAAAATCATAGGTTAATCGGGCTTATTATAATTGTTCATTCAGATTTCTTAGAATGTAATGAAGCATTAAATGCACATTTATGCGTCCAATAGCTGTAACGTGTCCATGTCATAAACCGCTCTGTGCTCATCAATAAAAAAACAATTGTTATCGTTCATGATAAAAATAAATGCACATTATACGTCCAGCAGCTGCAACGTGTCCATAAAACTTTAGGAGAAAACCGCTCTGCGCTCGTCAATAGGAAAAATCTTGTTCTCTTCCATGACAACGCAAAGCAGCATGTAACTAGGATAACACAGGAAAAAAAAATGTAACTTGGTTAGTCTGTTTTAATTGATCCGCTATATTCATTTGATCTTTCAGCTATCGATTATTACTTTTTTTTTTTCAGATCGCTAAAAAACGTTTTAACAGAGAAAACATATTCTCAGGAAAATTAGCTCTAAATCTTCGTTGAAAATATTCACACTAGAAACGATATTAAAGTGCTGCCGGACAACTTTTTTTTTTGATTGATTCGTTTTTACGGCTTATCAACCCTTTGCCTACTATTTAAAGCATGTTTTTTAGATAATAATGACTTAATGATACAATTCTTATTAATTAACCCATAATTGGGGGGAAAAGGTGGACTCATACCTAATAAAAAATTGATAAACAAACAAGAAATTATAATATGGTTATGAAGCGGGCAATCAATTCTATATTACAATCAGTATAACAACAGATCCCTTATTTTGTGGCCACAGTAGTTTTCTATACATTTGTATTTCAGAAATTGTAAATAAATATAAAAGACATGCCTGTGTATCTAACCAGTATGTCATTCAATGATTAATTCTTTTTCTACCGTTTATCAACTAATAATCGGTTTAGAAATACAAGTATTACCCATAGCTGCTGGGGGATAAGTGGTGAACTCATAGCTTTCCCAAGGGTATTAACGCGTAATTGACTATAACGAACCAAACGGGAATCGGAACTCGGCTCTCCGATTAACAATTACGAGCTATTATCCATTACACCACCCGCAGATCCAAGCTTAGAGCACCTGCAGTTCGTCATTACATGATGCCCTTTTACTGTCGTTTCTCCTTAAAAACGATGTCTTTGTTTCATCCACTCTCAGTATCTCCTTGCCACTTAGAAGCTTTATCACATCAATGTTCATACCAAAACCAGAGGAATTTTAATCAAACGATATTTAAGAGATACCGAACAAGTTTCTTTTTTTTCTTTTTTTTCTTTTTATTTTTTTTGATTGATTGATTCGTTTTTTACGGCTTATCAACTCTTTGCAGGTTATTTAAAGCTTGAAAATTTTTTTAGATTTTAAGTTTTTTTTTTTTTTTATTTTTAGATAATAATGGCTTAATGATACAAATCTTATTAATTAACCCATAGTTGGGGGGAAAAGGTGGATTCATACCTAATAAGAATTTAATAAACAAACAAGAAATTATCATATGGATATAAAGTGGGCGATCAATTCTATATTTCAATCAGTATATCAACTGATCCCTTATTTTGTGGCCGCAGTAGTTTCTATACAATTATATTTCAGAGACTGTAAATAAATATAAAAGACATGCCTGTGTATCTAACCAGTAAGTCATTCAATGATTAATTCGTTTTCTACCATTTATCAACCCTTTGAAGGTTATTTTTCATTTTGGAGATAATAATCGATTTAGAGATACAAGTCTTACCCATAGCTTCTGGGGGATAAGTGGTGAACTCATAGCTTTCCCAAGGGTATTAACGTGCAACTGACTATAACGAACCAAACGGGAATTGGAACTTGTCTCTCCGATTAACAATGACGAACCATTATCCATGACATCGCCCACACATCCAAGCTTACAGCACCTGGTATTCCCAAGCGGTCACCCATCTAGGTACAGACCTAAGTGGACGTTGCTTAACTTCGGTGGTCGAATCGGAACTTGTTTTTCTGTCGATTAACATTCATTAATAGAGCTAAGGAACATAACCAAAAACATCTTAAGCTTTTAGCACCTGGTATTCCCAAGCGGTCACCCATCTATCAACAGACCTAATTGGACGTTGCTTAAGTTCGGTGATCGAATCGAACTCGGCTCTCCGATTAGAAATACCGATCGAATACATTTTTGTTTTGTTGTTTTACAAATTAACAGCATTGGTATTACTTAAGCGGTCACCCATCTAAGACAGACCTAAGTGGACGTTGGACATTTTTTCGGATGGTCGAATCGGAGTGGAAAAATCTCCGATTAACAATACCGAGCCGTCCAGGTTTTTACACCACCCCCCAATCCAAGTTTTACAGCACCTGGTATTCCCAAGCGGGGTGGATGATAGGCACTGACCTGGGTGGATGTTGAAATATTAACTAAACGGTAAACCAATCCATCGGATCTCGGTAATCTCCGATTAACAATACCGAGCCGTTATATTAATACCCTTACATCCAGTGTATTTTACAAATATTTGGTATTTAATTTTCACCCATCTAGGTCTTTGACCTGGGTTATGTTTTTACTGCGGTGATCGAAGACGGAACTCGGCTCTATTGATAAACAATGATGAGCTGTTATCCATTTCAAAGAATGGTTCTAAGCTTACATGAATATTTTATTAGAGTCACCCATCTAGGTACTGGCCTGGGTGGATGTTGCTTAACATCAGTGATCGTATGGGAACCGGTGTTCCAACATGATTTTACCGTAAGACAATGCCTGACATGTGGCAAGAAGTCATTTTCAGTAATGGTGAATATATAATTGAATAAAATATAATTGTACTTAATTCTTTTTTTTTAACAATAAAATTGATAAACACAAACAGAAATTATTTATGGTCCAACGTCACACATCTTAGGAAAATCATTTAAAATCTGATTGTTCGAAATTAACCCAAACCTCCGAAGAGGATGCAAATATTCCACGAAAAATTTGTAAAATCCCTTGTGCTTTTTATTTTTCTTTGGTAATGAAACATTAGTTGATATCAAGTATGTTTATCTGGAATTATTTTCGACTGAATAAATGCTGAAAGTGGCTGGGGTCTGGAGATATTCACTCAAGAACGTCTGTACATTGCATTTTAAGTGCGTTGTCCATTAGGTTAGTGTCTGAAATAATGGAACTGTCGTCTAATCGTCAAGTACGGATTGGCAATTTGCGTTTTACGATGGCATGTCGAGATGATGGCGCTGACAGTCACGAATGCGCATGCGTTAGAGGGACATTCAACATGAATTTAGACTCAGAGCAGAAAAAAAAAAGCAGAAAAATAGAAATAAAAAAAAATAAAAATAAAAAGACGCAAATGGATAAAAAGAGAGAGAAGTAAATTTCTCTGACATGTCTGGGTAAAAGACAACGGTTTTATTAATACTACTTTTTTTTTTAAGAGGTTCAAGGAAGTGGCCTCGTTCTGATATTGTGCAGAGCCAAACATTCTTTGATTTCAAGTTGAAAGAAAAGCGAAATAGAAGAACTAAATAAAAAAGCAAAGCAAAGAAAGAAAGAAAGAAAAGAACAGAAAAGAAAAGAAAGAAAGCAAGATAGATAGATAGATAGATAGATAGATAGAATGAATGAATGACAGTGAGTTCCGAAAGAGAAAAAAGAAGAAAGAAAAAAAGAAGTGAACACCGGCGAAAGAAAGAAAGAAAATGAATGAATGATTAAAATGGGAGCGATATGGTTTGGTCTAGTTTGTTTTTGTTTACGGCATATCAACATCTCAATGGGTTATTTAATGCTGACAAAATTTTTATTGCTGGTAATATTTTTTTCAAAATATATTGCTGGGAATAATATTTGTTTTCAAAAAGTCATTGCTGGTAATAATTTTTTTTGTTAAAACCTATTGCTGGTAATGTTTTTTTTTTTGTAAAACCTATTGCCGGTAATGTTTTTTTTTTTTTTTAAATGTATTGCTGGTAATATTATTTTTTCTAAAATGCATTATTGGTAATATTTAAAAAAAATCTATTGCTGATATTTATATTATTTTCTAGAATATATTGCTGGTAATATTTTTTTTTCTAAAATGTATTGTTGGTAATAATTTTTGCTTTTCAAAAAGGTATTGTTTGAAATTTATTTTCAAAAATGTGTTTCTGGTAATAATATTCACACTTTCAGAGTTTTGATCCCAGTTCGGGGGCTCGCTATTTTCCCATAGCTAGGACTCTAACAGATGCTACCCAACCGGTCGACAATTAAGAGGTGGTTTTCACGCTCCGTAAAACCTCGAATCTACTGATCAGAGGCCTTGCTGACGGATGTAGTTTATCGTCAAACTCAGGACATGGGAACGAGAGAATCCATCAAGAGAACGTCGGTCAAAGAAAGAAAGAACTAACTATGAGTGAAAAAAAGAAAGAAAGAAAGAAAGAAAAGAAGAGAACGCCAGAGAAAGAAAGACAAAAGGAATGAATGCATGAATGAACAGGAAGCGAAAGAATCATGGAAAAGAACTCCTGAGAAAGGAAGTACCGGAAACGAAAATTAAATAAATAAAGACAGAAAGAAAGAAAGAAAGAAAGAAAGAAAGAAAGAAGAGAAGAGAGTGCCAGCGAAAGAAAGAAAGACAAAATGAATGACTACATGCATAAATAGAATCATGGAAAAACTCCTGAGGAAGAAAGAAAGTTCTTATTATTCAGTCGTAATAATAATAATAATAATAATAATAATAATAATAATAATAATATTAAAAAATCGAAAATCTCGAAATGTGGCACATGGGATCATCAACAATCCCTGTTGTTGGAGCCCTCGGATTTGATGGAAAAGATTCCAGTAGACTTCTTGAAGGGATTCCTGCAATCCCATGCCTTAAGGAAATACAAAAAATGGTTCCCATGAGCACAACCCACACCTTAAGAAGGGCTTTATCTATGTAAAATATGTGTGTTTGTTTTTTTTTTCTTTCTTTTTTTTAATTGGTAAATGGAAATGTCATGATACCATTTCTAACCATAAGTCTTTAGGCAGGACCATGAAAAGAAATGCGTACACACCAGAAATCAAAGAAAATAAAATAATAATAATAATAATAATAATAATAAAAAATGAAGCCAACAAATTCAAAATAGAGTTCCAAATGGTTTTAGAAATAAAAGTAAAGCACACTACACCGCCTGAAGTAAAATACTTAAAAAACAAAGCAAAGGCAAATGCAACCGACCAGATACATGAACGATGTCAAGCTAAACCGCTTCACGCAGAATACACTGCCCGTACCAAACAGCCTGATATAGACAAAACCCGTACCCAAAAGTGGCTAACAGTTGGGGGTTTTAAAGCTGAAACTGAAGGTTTTATCCTTGCTGTTACAGGACCAATGCTTACTAACTAGAAATTATAAAAGTATATATCTGAAAAAATTGTGTTTAGCCTAAAATGTAGATTCTTTGATAAATATCCAGAAACAATTGATCATCTTGATATCAGGTTAACGGAATTTGCACCCACTGAATATAAACTCAACATGACGAGTGGGCCAATATCTAAACTGAAAAATATGCTTTCAACACGGAAAATAAAACTAAAAAAAAAATTCATGAAACACCACCCAGACCTGGCTGCGGAGATAGGACCTGTAACAGACGTAACAATCAAATCTAATCGCCCAGGTATTCGTGATAAGAGACCGCAAAAAAGAAAAAAAATGTTCCTCCTTATTGATATGGCTGTCCCTGTAGAATGCAATGTATCTTTGAAGTGAAAAAAAAGCTATCAAAATCGAAATAAAAAAAAATGTGGCAATATGGAAACATCAACATTTCTATTACTATTATCAAAGAAAAGAATGAAAAATTCTACTACTACTACTATTAATAATAATAATAATGTTCATATTCAAATCAAAAGAAGAAGGAGAAAGAGAAAATAATAGATAATAATAATAAATATGTAACTTTTTTTTTTTGTCAGTGGAAAGTGTTAAATGCCATTTCTAACCTTAGGTCTCTGGGCGGGAAAGGAAAAAAGAATGTAAACGGAAGGTTTTTTGAATTCAAAGGAAATAATTTTTACTAATTAATTATAATAAAATACTAAAATATTTGTTAGCCCAAAATGCAGATTCTTATAAATATCCAGAAACAATTGATCATCTTGTATCAGGTTGCACGATGTTGGCACCCACTGAATATAAAACCCGGCATGACAGAGTGGGCCAATATCTGCACTTGAAAATCTGCAACTTCTACGGGAAGGAAACTGAAAGAAACTGGTATGAACACCACCCAGACCCGGTTACGGAGATAGGACCTGTTACAATTCTATGGGACTACGCAATACACACTGACAGAACAATCAAAGCCAACCGCCCAGATATTGTTATTAGAGACCGCAAACAAAAAAGTGTCTTCTTATTGATATGGCAGTCCCTGTAGGCTGCAATGTATCTTTGAAGATATTCAAAAAGCTGTCAAAATACAAGGACCTTGAAATCGAAATCTCAAAAAGTGTGACACATTAGAAGATCAACAATTTCAGTTGTTGGTGAAGGCATTTCATTGATTGGAAAAGGTTACAATAAACTAATTAAATGGATTCCTGGAAGACCATGCCTTAAAAAAATAAAAAAAAATGTCTTTATCTAAAAAAATATGTCATCTTTTTTTTTCAGAATTGGTCAGTGGAAAATGTTATGATGCCATTTCTGAAAAACCTTAGGTCTCTGGTTGTGACCCGGAAAGAAATGTAAATATATAAATAATATAATATAATATAATAATAATATATATAATATAATATATGCCCAGTAACACACACACACACACACACACTATCTTTCATTACACACACACATACACATTGACACACACATACATATATATATATATATATATATATATATATATAATGATGAAAGCTGAGGCTTTAAAAACCAATGGTGATATTTATTTCGCAAGACCGATTAATCAATCTCGTCTCATCAGAACAAACG